TGTTGTATGTTGTTTTCAACCTAGATCTGCTCAATAAGGCCATTTAAAGCTTCACGCATCTTCTTAGCTCTAGCTCGCGTGACTGGACCTCCTTGGGTGTGTAATGGATCACATGACGTGGTAGATATGCTGTCGTCTTGATTCCCATCAATATATATATATGCACAATCTGACCTTAAAACATATTTATCTGGAATAGTAGGTGCTGTGTGGCTTAGAGCTCTAGGGTCGAGTTCCCGGTTTTATGCAAGTGAGGTAAGTAACTTATGGTCATGCTTTGTATTTAAGGTAAAGCTTTTAAAAGCAAATTTCTGATGGTTTTGAAATGGTGGCGGGACTAAACCCGTTTTACACGAGTATGACTGATTTGAAGTGAAATTTTTATGCTTTTCATTAAATTGAGGATGCCTACTTGGAATTTAATTGACTGTCCTGATGATTTGAAAGTGATTGTGAATTGTGATTTTCTTGTTAACTTCTACCTGTTTTGTCTTCGATATGGTCATGTTATTTGTGTGCCCGTTAGTGGGAGGTTTATAAACACTAGCACATGTCGACATGTTACTGATAGCAAGGTTTTCAAAACCGGACCGGTCATTGAACCATTTTTGAGTCTGGTTTTTGGTTTGATTGGTTCAATCGGTGAACCGACCGGTTCAAATAACAAGGGAAATTTGATGAGAGGGATAGGTAATTTTGTAATTTCATTAAAATTAAGGGTTAAAATCGGTATAAGAAATGAATGGTGAGGGTGAAATTGGAAAAACTAAAAAGAAAATTGCATGAGAAATTGAACCGGTGGTTTTTCTGGTTCTACCGGTTCCATCGGTTTCACCGGTTTTGAATGGTTTTGAACGGTTGTGATCGGTTTTGAATGGTTTTTGATCGATTTTGACCTCAAACGGTTTTTTGTGTGAACCGAGTCGTTTTCATTACTGGGTATCGGTCTGACTGGTTCAACCGGCCGATCCGATCCGATTTTAAAAACCTTGACTGATAGAACCGGTTCGTTCGTGTTATCCTGCTAGTGGGATTATACATTGGTTAATCGTGTGCCTGCTAGTGGGAGGTTTATAACATTGGCCATGACTTATAGATGAGACGTCTATTTCGTTCCCGTACTATATTCGTTTTTCATGATTATACTTGTTGGCATACTATGAGTTTAATTACAAGTTATTCATATTTTACTTACTGAGTTATCTCACCTCGTTTTTCTTCGTCCACCATTTCAAGTAGTATGACTTGAGACGCGGGAAAAAAGGGGAGTGACGAGCTAAATGGCTAGCTATTGTATTTGGATATAGATTTTGAGTTTAGATTATTTTTTGTAAGTTAGATTCATTATTTTGAGCTTAAGTCGTGTTGGACATGGAATTATTTTGAGATATTTGACATAGAATTATTTTGAGATATTTGATTTAAGTTATATCAGATGTGAATTGGATAAGTTTCGAGTCTTGTGCATTTGTGAGACCCGTCTCATAGGTGTACGGCATCTGTTACGCTTTTCGATTTGGGTTCTGGGGCGTGACACGGTTCTCCTTGAGTAAGATCTCGAGTTCGAGTCTTGTAAATGGAAAAACAAACGTTAAAAGAATTTTCCTCCTAATAGAGTCTGACGTGACTTGATTCTTTATTAATTGAAATTCAATGTGATTATCGGATATCGTAAGGTTAATACAAAAAAAATACGAGTGCAGTAGTTGTGTCTCACTTTAAAAATAAAAAAAATAAAAAATACAGTAAATATTTAAATTCGGAAAATCAAGGGTTAATAGAAATACTAACGTCGTTAGTGGTGTCACACCAACGGCTTCATGGTAAGGATCCCAATAACATGTTTTCTTGAGTAGAGGGACCCCAAACAACAATTACTCAGGACGTTAGTGATTGAAAAATCAAAGTATAAGGACTATAAGTGGATTTAACCCGGAAAGAAGTGTTATGTCATGACATGTAACACTCAAGTGACAAGGAAAGGCACTTGAAATTAGATTTAAAAATTTCAATTATAAATGATTCGGCTATGTGAAAAAATTGAGAAAATCTTTACAACTCTCTCAACTTATTATATAGCCCAATTTTAATCAATGACATTCTTTTGCTGAGGCAAACACGAGGAAAATAAAACAAAAAGAAAATGACAAAGAAAAAGAAAATGACAAAGGAACCTAAAACTTCTTCGAAGTCTCAAATCCTTATGGTCAATGAATGCTTCAAGGTCCCCACATGAAGCAAATGTTCTCCCATTGCAACTTTTCTGCTTCCAACCTCATCAGAGACACTCAAATCCTTGCAAACATCCACGTTAAATCTCACCATCGCTTCCCCTTTTCCACTCAAGAAAACTTTCTCGAAACTTATCAAGTGTTTCTGGGGAGAGTTGTGCACGAATGGGGGACTAGAGAACAAGAAAACCGTATGGCTTCCGCTTATTAATCCTGTGTTTTGAACTTTCATGTGTATATCAAAAATTGAATTTTGACAACGCTGTTCAAAGGCATCAATCGATTTGCAATCTGATGAGCGACAAACATGATCTTCCTCTAGGGGGATCGATACCAATTTCGGTGCCTTAACTAATTGGTGATTGAATGTGGAATAGCTTAATCCATCTCCAAAAGAATAGACAGTATCACCGGTATAAAATCTGTAAGTCCTACCAGGATAGCCATTAGCAGTATCTGGTCTCATGTTCATGTTTGTCATTGGAACTTTGTCAACATATGATTGTGGATACCATGTCATTGGCAATCTTCCACCTGAAACAATTATAATTATCAATTACTCAAAATTTTTTTTTTTCCTTTCATATGAAACTTGAAAAAGAATGTTGGAAAGCTTACTTGGATTATAATAGCCAAAAATAACATCAGCAATTGCAGCTCCACCAGCTTCGCCAGGGTAACCAACCCAAAGTATGCTTGTGACTTTACTATCATTCTTTGCGAATGTTATGTCAAAACCTCCTCCGGACATTATAATTAGAATCACTGGTCCCTTAGCAACTTTTGCAACTTCTGTTATTAGAAGTGGCTGTTGTCCTGGTAATAAAAGATCATTCCTGTCAAGACTCTCCCTCTCAATGGATTGATCTGCACCCATTACGAGCACGGTGGCATCAGCTGAGGCAGCTATATTCTTTGCATTATCCACATCTGCACTGCTGCAAGCCACATTTGAGCAGCCAGGCTGATATGTTGTTGCAACGGAAGCTATTAAGCCTTGTAAAGGTGTTGTATATTTGCACGGAGTGCCTACAAAATTCACACTGGTTCAATTAAGAAATTGCTAGGAATTGTTCGAAATTGAGAAATTAAGTAATCCAGATAAGTACCTTCATAGTTTCCAATCATGGTTTTAGTGACATTAGCATTAGGTCCAATGACTGCTAGAGTTTTGATGGTAGTGGGGGACAAAGGCAATGATCCTTTTGTGTTCTTAAGCAATACTATCCCTTGCCTTGCAGCTTCTCGAGCCAGCTCTTGGTTCTCTTGAGTGCACACATCTTTTGGACCAAGCTTTCCATAAAGCCCTTTTCTGGGGTCACCATCAAAGAAACCCAACCGCATTAATGTGGCAAAATTGTTAGAAATTGCCTTATCAACGTCTGATTCAACTAACAATCCTCCTTTCACTGCAGCCTCAGTGTGCTGGCCCAAGAAGGATCCACAATTTAAATCCAGCCCTGGAAAATCAAAATATTAACTCAAAGCAAATATTTATCTCCACATTCAGCTAACTAGAAAGTCAAAAAGCGAATTTCCGTAATACTTATGATGTTTTCATTCATGTCTAAATTCTCAATTTTCATTTATCTTAATTCAATCCGTAATGTCACTATCCCTTTCCACAAAGGTCTTTTTATAGCCAGTTTTCAACTAACATTTCAAATCCATCATGGGCCTAGATAGTACCACTTATATAGGCCTTATGAACACTCATGTATTCCCCTAGTTTGCTCACTCCACAAAAAGGCATTATCAGGGAAAACTTTCTCAAAGGGAGAGAGAGATTATTGTAAACAAGGCAAGGGGTAATATATTTCTGTCAATGGCTAATAGTGAGACTTGACATATGGACTTTGTCAAAATAAGTTACTAATGGTAGGGATTGAATTGTAAGAAACAAAACCTTGAGAACAAATTAAAGCACCATAAAGAGATTAAGGACGAATTGAAAACTTCACT